CTGTGGTCCATCGGCGGTCTTTGTGGTCCATCCTGTGGTCCTGTGGTCCATCCTGTGGTCCATCGGCGGTCTTTGTGGTCCATCCTGTGGTCCATTGGCGGTCTTTGTGGTCCATCATGTGGTCCATCATGTGGTCCATCGGCAGTCTTTGTGGTCCACTGGTGGTTTTTGTGGACCATCCTGTGTTCCAGTACGCTATCGCTTCCTGAAGCGTAAAGAGAGGGTAGTGCACATCTGCTTGATGGCTCATATCCCCTACATTTCCAGCGCGTTTTCTTCTGTGCTGACTCAATGTTGCAAAATGTTGTTTGCAGATCGAACCATAGCCTAGCTGCAGCTCTTTTCTTTCAAGCCTGTCTCTCCTTCTTAAAGCATTCCGTTGCTTCAGTCCAGTTGGTGGATGCTCCTACCCCCTCCTTCCCCGCCCCCTGCACCCCCCCCACCGTTGACATTCTGTTGCAGTCAAGGCACGCTTAGGGCATGAACTGACTTCCTGCCCTAACTCTGCTGTGTAGAAATTGACTCTTCGTCATTTCTGTAGATTCGTGTAGAACTTCTTTCGCGTTAAACGGGTTCTTCTCCAGTCGGTGCACTCCCTTTTGCTTTGCCCCACTGCTCTCCCTCTTCCTTGTCCCATTTCTGCTGGCTACTTTTGTGGGAGTTGAAATGGGAACAACTTCCGGGTGGTAGGTAAGTAGAAAGTACTAGAAACTGTAGAATGAATGTGTCCTTCGGGACATCCGTTAAAAGTGGAACGATACAGAGAAAATTAGCATGGCCCCTGCGCAAGGATGACACGCGTAAATTGAGAAATGGTCTATTTTTTTTTAAGGAAAAAAAAAAAAACCTGTAGAATGAATCTGAATGATGCCAAAAATCAGTTATTAAAAGACAAAATCACCTGGACCACATTTCGGGTGTTCTCGGTCGCTACTCTGTAGCATTTGTAATTTTGTAATCAATTCATCGTCGGTGCCACGTGGATGTCCTTCTCTCAACGCCGAGGTGAAAGAAGTGGAGGGAAAGGAGGAAGGTAGGTAGGTGGTTGAACCGCTCGTCATCACATTGCATGGCATGTACGCTTCCCCCAGACAGGATGAGCCAGGGTTTCACATCCTCCGCAGACTGCAGCTCTGCTCTGCTTCTTTCGAGTAGTCGTCTGCTGTGGGGAAACGTTTTTTTGTTGGAGAGATTGTTTTTTTCTGCTCGCTGAAACAAGCAGCTAATGGATGCTGTTCCGTTAGCATCGGCAGTATGGTGCTGTCATCTGATAAAAAGGTCCCAAGCAGCGAATTGCTTCGGTGTGTCATGCCTAAGGGGCATGGCATCTACGCTTTCGAGGCCGATGGGGAGAGAGGAAGGCTTCCAGAGAAGTGTAGGTAACGCCTCCATCACCATCTGCTGCGGAAGACGTTTTTCGCTGAGTCAATTCGCATTCTTTCGGACGAAAGGCTTGGTCTGCCTGACAAAAAAAAAATTTCAGCAAGATCTGCTTTGGGTGGATTTCAGATGATGTCATTTCCACAATCGCTCCAGTGCTCGTGCATGGTCAACCAAGCAAGCTTAGGAAGAGAGGGAGGGAGGAAGGGAGGTTACATGGCACACTATGGAATTTTTATGGTCTGGACTCAGAGGAGGTCGTGGGTTCGATTCCCCACGTTTGTTCGTTCCACTCCCCACAGCCCCCTGCTGTGCACTGGTCGCTTGCCCCCCCTGGCTGGTCTTGGCAGGAGTCAGAATCCGGCCATCCTTCACTAGAGGTAAGGAGCCTGGGTACTGCTCCCTGCACAGAGTAGAGTGGATAGTTATGGGTAGATTCCCTCTAGCATGTCCCTCTAGCAATTCGTGTGAGGTGTAAAGCGGATAGATACAGGCTTAGGCTACCTAGTGGGTTGTTGAGGGTTCGAGAGTAGAGTGTATAGATGATGTCCCCATTCAGTGTGTAATGTGGAATTCCGTCATGCTAGATACGTGTGGGTAAGATAGCACGAGGTATGTAGGTAGCTATTGTGAGGTGTGTGTGTGGGGGGGGGGGGGGGGGGGGAGGAGGGATTGATAGAAGAAAATAGCGCAGCGAATACAGCTGTCCCCCATATGAGGAGAAAACAGCTTTTCTTTTGTAGAAAACAAACTGGTAATTACGGTCTCCTTGGTCTGGAGGGGACTACAGAATTGGCGACTCCTTGTTTTTCTAGCTTGAAGGACAACTAGGTCCTTGAAAATCTCTGAATTTGACTGTCTGCCTGCCAGTCAGAGGCTGCTGGATATTTGACATGTGGAACTCTAAGGAGAATGCAGCCTTTACGGATGAGCCAATTTTCTGCAGTGAAAAGTACCTATCCACCTGGTGGTTGATGTGTCTGGCTCTCTCTCTCTCTCTCTCTCTCTCTCTCTCTCTCTCTCTCTCTCTCTCTCTCTCTCTCTCT